CCCATTGGTAAAGAATGATTTTGGTATGGAGTGTTACTTCTATATGCTTCACTTGTATCGTAATTAGTCGTAGTATCATTTATAGCTTAAATTGATATGATCGTATAGTTTAAAAGGAAAAACAAGGGAATATGATCATAGATAATCTTTAAATAATATCAAAATATACCTCGCACATTTTGTTGATATCCACCATCCATGCCTAAGGAAGAATCTGTGTTGATGACATCTTCACGCGTAGATTCCGAAGGAAAGATTGAATGATTATGTGACACGTTTATAATGTCATTTTGTGACAAAAACATAATCGGATCCTTGTTGGAACACGAGAATTCAATGTCTCTTTTCATATGTTGTGCGAGACTAAAATTTTTATTGTTAAAATTGAAACAAGAACAAGAATGACAGTATAGTTTCATTAAAAATTTAAAACGCACGTATCAATGTCTATATGATTTTCAGGTGTAGAGGTTTCTTTTGTCAATCGAATATCCTCTTCTTCAAATTCTCGAGATAATTCAAGATGATCATTCAATAAATTTATACAAGTATCTAGTTTGATTTAAATAAAAGAATATTAGGCAATTTGACAGGGTGAAATAATTTCTAAAAAAACATTTCAGAAATTACAAGTTATAACCTTCATTTAATCCATTAAAAATTGCAGCGCTTTCCCTTCTTTTCCTAACTCTAGAAAGACCAAGTTTATCTTCAAACTCGTTCATATTCGAAGGGTTAAAGTTTAATTTGTTGCTTTCCATATTGCAAGATAAAGAGTAAAATAAAATCCTGAGGAATTTTACACAACTTTTAGCTAACAATTATATAAACAAACTGATTGGCGTCATTCGTGATTTGTGAAACAATAGAATCATGTGATTCTTGCTGATCATTTGTACACCGAACTTCTCTTTCCGAACTTTCTTTTAAACGTTCACATATTTTCTTTTTTTTTTTTTATTTTTAAAAATAAAAAAAAAAAAATAATTATAAATGACTGTGTT